CCCCGCCCCCTTGTTTTCATTCCCTATCCAGTCGTACAGTAGCTCTGGACGCTGACGCCGCCGGTAGTCGGGTCGGGTAGGGGTGTTTGGTTTCGCGAGGCTTCGGGGAAGCTACCACATCAAGTCGGCTGCGGCGTCGACTTATGTGTAACACGTCGTTTTCTTTTTGTCTTGCGGCGCATTCCTTTTGTCGTTTAAACATGAGAAACGATTGGTCAGGTCAGGCGACCCTTTTTCAGGAGAGAGTCGGACAATAATGGACAGCCCACGCTTCCCGGCCTTGCATATTTAAAGAAAGCTCACTTCTCGCCACTTCTCGCCTTGCGGTTTATTTTCGCCGGCGCATTTGCATTCTCCAATCGATGGCCCGCTGCGGGCCGGGGGCGGCTGCAGCGGGCCCAGGTCCAGAGGACCTCGTCTTGCTCCGGATTAGCGTCCCGACGCGAAGAGCGTTTCGTTCTGCGTCGCGAGGTGCGGGGCGCGGTCGCGCGGCTGTGCGTCCTGCTGACAATGCAGGAGTAAAAAAAATGAATCGCGTTGTATATGCAGCATGATTTTTTTTTTTGATTTTTTTTAAAGTGGGAGGGAGCGAGATTTAGCGACAAGGCCGCTGCAAGTATAATTTTCTAGCATGTTTGTATGCTAAGCGTCTTCTTTCCTTTTTATTATTTTTCACTGAACGAAAGAAAGTTGGTGATTTTTTTTCCGTGGGTTCGCTCAACAGGTGTTGACCCTCCGTGTCTTGATGACTAGTCATCCAACATTCCCCAACCCCCCCAACCTCCAAACCCCCTCAAAAAAAGTTCCGCCTCTCAATTTTCAAATGATTGAACATGTGCCGATGGCAGCGCAGCTCCTTATCTCTGGGGGGGATCGTCGCGCCGGCCGGCAACTGGGAGTGGCGGGGAAGGGCCGGCCGGTACTTTAGTCTTTCTCCCTAATCTTGGGCGATCGTTTCCAACCGGGTGGAGTCGTTGTCGTCGCTCGTGGCCTCTGGCTGGCCACGCCTCGCCACGCCGCCGACCGCTCAGATATCGCCGAGTCCGTCGCGATCGTTTTGTTTACGTCTGTCCGTCCGTCTGTCCCGTCCCGTCCCACTGTGGTCTGCTGATGTGAGGCAGCCCGGGCGCGCGAGGCGGCGCGCCGCTCAGGGAGGGATAATGTCTAATTGTCCATTTCGCCTCGCGGTCCGTCTATTTCTGCCCCGGCATGGGATGACACCTGCGCTCTAACTAGCCGCCGCTGCGCGCCTCCGCTCCGCTCTGGTGGAGCAACACACGTCCGGGCGACGCGACACGCGCCGAGACGAGACCAGCCGAGCAGGCCGAGCGGAGCCGAGCTCGGCCTGGCGACAGGTTGCTGAACAAGTAAACAAACAAGTTCGCAGCGCTGCCGAGTCGTCTAGCAGTAGGCGTTTCGTTGTGCGAGAGAGGCAATAGTAAACTTCACCTCGCGAAATATTCAGCGTTCTTCCCACGAAATTATTTCTGACACCCCAAACCCCAAACTAAACTACTCACGTCGGGAAAGTGGAAGTCCGTAAGCCTGTATGCCAGCTGGTGCCGCATTTTGTGTGTACATTATCTCTGCAGTCTCCAGGAGGCCATATCCCTACCCTTGTGTTTGTTTTGTTTTTCAGTGGAATCGAGGAACGGGATGAAATCTTCTCCAGCAGCCAGCTGAGCACGCCCTCTGTGGTGGAGGCCGCCCCCGCCGCCTGCGCGGCCCCCGCTCCAGCTCCACTGCCGGCTGCTGCTCCAGCCCCGGCCACGGCCCTGACGCGGCCCCAGTCGGTGACGGCCTCCTTGTTCAAGTCGGTGCCCCAGGTGCTGGTGGAGCCTCCAGACAGCCCAGCGCCTCCGGCGGACATCCGCGTCAACCAGTACATCCGCCCCGAGAGCGCGGCCGGCGCGGCCAGCTTCACCCTCTCGCCCTCCATCTCGCCTTCCCTGTCGCCCGCTCTCTCCCCAGCCCTCTCTCAAGTCCTCTCCCCAGCCCTCTCTCAAGTCCTCTCTCCAGACTTCTCTCCAAACCTCTCTCCAGCCCTCTCCCCCAGCCAGCCAGACCCGCCCCTGCTCCGCCCTATTTCCGCGACGAGCAGGATCTTCGCTTCCTCGCCGTCCTCTGCAACCTCGACATCTGCGCTCTCACCAGCCCCGGCATCACCCTCGTCATCGGCGTCCTCCCCGACAGTCTTCCTGCGCCCGCAGGCAGCTACCACCAAGATTTTTGCACCGCGCACAGAGGACATGAACAAGGGATTCCTCATATTCTCGGAGGACGAGGGTCTGACCAGTAAGTATGGTGGGCCTTCCCTGTAGTGCTGCATTATAACATTCTTGTTTGACGCTTATTGACTCATCGCTGTTTCTTACCCTTTTCCAGTGCTGAAGGATGAGCCAGAGGACCTGACGCATCTGGCCCCAACGGCTGGGGACGTGTGCGTCCCCCTCGAGGGTCCGTTCCTTGGCGATGTGTTCGACGACTTTATGTTGTCTGAAAATTACTGCCCCTTACTTAGCGATGACAACAGCAACTCCAAGTTCTTCCTGTACCGTGACAATGACCCCACCCCCGGTGACCTATCCCCACCGGGCCACTGCCGACACCTGCTCTCCCCCACTGTATCACCCACCCTCTCTTCAACCCTCTCAGAGGTTAGCACCAAATGCCCGCAGTACGCCTACTAAGTCTTCCGAAGTGGCCTGAGAACCAGCCTCTAATACATATTCTTTCCCACAGAGTCCTGGAGATTGCAGCCTACCATCTTTGTGCAGCCCGAGCAGAGCAGTGGATCTGGATGACAACATGTCTCATTTTATGTCCCTTTCGGTTGATACTGGTATGACCAGTTTGTCAGATACCGATGATGACTTGAGCTTAAGAGCACCTTACATACCAATGGGTGAAGATCTTCCTCTCATCATGTCAAATGATCTCATGTGGGGGTCTTCATTACCGTACAAAAGTAGCACCAGTAGTAGTAGAAGCAGTTCAAGCAGTTGTCCAGATGATAGTGGAGGAGGTGACAATAGTAACAGTAGCATTAATAGTCCTCTGGGCAGCTCACGTAACTGTTGGTAAGTTTAATGGCTTTTTCTTTTCTTCTTTTCTTAAAGCCTGTTTAGGAAAATAACAATAATAACAATGTTTTTTTTTATCAAGGTCACCTCAACCACAGACTTCGAGCAAACCAGATATGAATTCTAGTTTAGCAAGGCTTTTACAATCTGACACATTACCCAATGGCCATCGACAATCAGCTTCAGATCTTGTAGACCCATGTGAAGTGTTGGGCCAAATTTACTCTAAAAAACAATGTAAGGATAATGTTTGAGTGAAATTATGTTATGTTCTCTCTTTAAATGCTCTTCTTTCTTTCTCTACTTAAAGTGCACGAATTTTCATGTTCCCTTTATTTACAGCTCCTGCATGGAGTAGTGGACGTGGACCAGGTCGCCCTAGTTCACATAAAACAGCAGCTCCACCTCATACCCACAAACGTGGATCAAGTGCGATGGGACAGTACTTAGGGGCCAAGCGTAGTAGATTAAATGTGGCAGGAAGTCGTTCCAAGAAAGCGCAAGCAGATCTTTTACACTCTACAGACTCAGTATTGGTGTTGGATGGTGGAGGGCATCGACCTGAGCACAAATCAGTGCCATTACCGCAGCCCAGCGATAGTGTTCTAATGAACCTCTTGGTTAGTGGATGTGATGTGAGTGCAGGGTATATTTGTATTGGGTTTGGAAAGAATGGCAAGCTCTCCACAAAAGTTTAGTGATAAGTGTGACAATATTTTGGACTCTCTTGAGCCAGTGACACAAACCACAATATTTCTCAGGTTTAGCAGTTCGAGATTGCAGCCCTGTGTTGTACTAGTCATGATTTGCTCTCAGCAGGTTTTCATCGTTTGTACATATGACATGATGTGCCATGTTATAAAGGCTTGTGATGTATATTTGGACATGAACTTTCTTTGTATGATCTTGCTATGTAGGCTATGTCATCAACATTATTTTCTTTTACCCTGTCAAATATATGTTTTCTCTACAATAGAAGCCCCATTCTCAAAATAATCTCATAATTTTGAGCACAAAGAAATGTGTTCTATTTAAATTAGCAGTGTGCAACCCAGTTCTCCCTAAAACTACAGTATTCTCAAGCGCACACCCACAAGAACCCTTTCTCAACAATTAAAACATTCCATGTTGTATTGATTGTTGCCCATATGAAAGAAAATACCTTTTTCTCTTATTATTT